GAGAGAGAGAGAGAGAGAGAGAGAGAGAGAGAGAGAGAGAGAGAGAGAGAGAGAGAGAGAGAAGGGGGGGAAACCTATGATAGAGTGCAAGAAGGTGGTGGCGAGCTCAGATCTGCACCTTACGCCTTTGGGGTTTACATTATTGAACTCTTCGCCTAATTTCCTCCCCCCTCTCCTCCTCTGTCACACATCTCAGCAGAGTTTCCACAAACGTTTTGAACTTTCGTCCATGCAGATCAGAAGCTTTTATGAAGATTCATCTGACCTTCTGCTATGCATGTCAGAATTCTCATTTTGGAGAATCGACCTCCTTTTCGTTTGCTGCTGCTCCACAGCCTCCACCAAGTTGAAAGTTTCTTTTCTGTAGAAGGAACACAATGGTCGAACTCCTCTTGTTGGCATGAAACAGACCTTCCACCATTTACTTAGTATTTAGTAGTAAATACTAAATTGTTACATTGAAAAAGGAGGAGGATAAGAAAACACTGAGGAGGAGGGTGTCAATGCAAGTGCAAGAAGTCAAAAAACGAAGAAGAAGGAAAGTGCAATTGCAACAAGAAGAAAGAAAACTGAAGGAGGACGAAAGCACTTGCACAGTTGTTCTACCTCCTGTCAGTTTCTTGCATCTCTTTTTTTTACTCATCAGGATTTCATTTCCAGAATTTTGGACCATCAAGTGGATGACAAGAATGCCTCAATTTCGGACCATGAAGTGGATGATAAGGATGCATTCTTATCATGAAGATAAAACAACTTCATGGTCCAATTTCAGCCATGCATGGCTGAAATTGTAAAGAAAAGATGATGGGCAGTGGGCAGTGTGGTCACACATCCATGCATGGCTGAAATTGGACCATGCATGGCTGCAATTGGACCATGCATGGCTGAAATTGGACCATGCATGGATGTGTGACCACACTGCCCACTGCCCATCATCATAATAATTAAAACCACGCAGCCATCTGTCAAACCTTTTTATCATAGAGACGATTTCGGGCAAAAGAAATAAGTGTTGCTGGCCTTCCAGCTGACACTGACCTGGCTGCATGCTGCAAGAAATGCGACTTTTCTTGCAGCTGCAAACCCATGAACACACGTAAAGGACTGTTTTTTGCTGATGGAAAGAAAAGAACCAACTCTCTCATTGGCACACAATACCAATACTCGCTCATTTCACCCATTCATTACCTTCGTTGCTGACTTGTCCACTCGACCGCTCCCTCGCTCGCTTAAACCGCTACCTTTCGCTCATATCGGCCACGGGGTGGGTCCCCTCGCACATTGCGGAGGCCAAAATGAAATGACGCCTGCTGACGAAATTCATCTACGGTGGGCGCTGTTCGCCCCAGCCCCCAAAATATGCGGTATATGCTAAATAGTAAATTCCCACTTTTCCCAACACTGGGGTGGTTTAGCTCCCTTGCTCACTCCCTCAGTTCCTTAGTCACATGCTCTGCACTCCCTTGCTCAATCACTTCCCTCACTTCCCTACTCCCAAGGTCACAACCTCGCTCCCTCGCTCCGTTTGTCACCCTCTTCATCTTGCCCTTGCCTGCTCTCTCACTCCCTCGTTCTCTTGCTCACTCTGATGTTTGCCTTGCTCCTTTGCTAACTTGCTTCCGGGCTCTTGAGCTTGTTCCATCACTCCCTAGCTCCCTCGATCACTTGCCTCCTCACTCTCTCACTTGCTCACTTGCTCTCTAGATCCGCAATGAGGACAGCTACTAGAGGCGGCTGCTCTTATCAACCCCTCTAGTAGAGGTCGCAGGTTAAAAAAAAAAGAAAAAAAAGAAAAAAAAGAAAAAAAAAAGGAGCATCGAAGCAACCACATTACCAAATGCCAATCCTTTTTTTTTTTTTTTTTTTTTTTTTTTTTTTTTTTTTTTTTTTTTTTTTTTTTTTTTTTCCCCTAAGGCATAATCAACCACCAAAGGTTCATCCATCCGTTGCTCTCCAGCCCGCGGAGGCTGACATTCATGTTACATGCTGGATATCAGGCAGTATATCACCATCTCCAAACCTATGCAGCCTGAAGCAAAGTGAGAGTCATGACCATCCTTTGCTCAATCTAGGTCCATCACCAACAATGCTCTCAGCAATACATATCCTTATCTCAGTAAATCTCTCTCTCTCTGTCTCTCTCTCTCTCTCTCTCTCTCTCTCTCTCTCTCTCTCTCTCTCTCTCTCTCTCTCTCTCCC